TGTATAAGATTTATAGTTTTACATACGATTCATAATTTTGTATATGAATGTAATTATGTATGAGATGAGAAAGGTTAGAAATAGGTTGTTGTACATGTTTCTTATACACAATAGGAGTCATGTTGATACTTACGATATATGGAGATCGTTGTCATCACGTGCGGGACTAAATGGTCATTTCATTCCGTCTTCGAAAAAATCAGTTAATGTAGGATGTGTGCTTGTATTCAAACTGAGCTTGACTTGAGGACATGTTAGTTTGTTATGTCTCTCACCGTTGCAGTACCCACATCGCCTAATTTTCTTCTCGACCTTATTCTTCGGTACTTCTTTTATCTTGCATTGTTTTCGTTGAGGGTCGCGAACGTTGTTTACTACACTGCTCTGGTTGACTGAATCATTCAAACCAAAAGAGTTTTCAAATTCTTCTATTAGTCTTTTCATCTCATCTCATGCGGTTTTGAAAGATGCGTCTGTCTTTGATGCAATGTAGCATAACCTACTTGACGTTGAACGTAGAGTAGCGAACCTTTCCATTTGCATCACTTCTAGAGGCACATTCAAGTCAACATAACTGGGTGTAGAAGCCTTCGCATCCTTAGTCCACCTACTTTGAATCAAAGTCCCGAGCAAATATGTGTAATCCAAATGCTTCAAAATGTGAAGTTGATAGCGACACGAAAGTCCAACGGTCTCAAATTTTTTGCAGGAGCAAATTAGGGTTTTCGTACGAGAATCAAAACTAATTTCAAATGTCCTGTTTTTTTCTTTGTACTTTGTCAAAATATAATGTTGACATTTATCTGATAATGACTGAATCTCTTCCTCAATCTGATACAATGTCTCCTGTTGAAGTTCATCTTGGAACGCAAGAAAAGATTTGCGGGTAAAAATCTCAGCAGCATGGCTTTCAAGGTCGACCAGTTTTGTGATCTGGAAGGCCTTCGTCTGGGAACTTAAGTAATCCACTTTCACCTCGTTCATGCGCATTCTACTAATTTCATCTTCAATTGCACGAACAACATCTAAATATGTCTTCTTGTGTTTCAGTGCAATCGCTAGTGAAACATTCATAGACTCGCACCTTTGTGTTGAGCGAATATTGATAAAGAAATGACCGGTTAGATATGCTTGTGGCCATAAGTGCCGAGTATTTCCATTCTCAATCACCCATAGATGCTTTTCGATATTGAATTCTGAAACAACCGAACGCCATTGAATATCAAATTCATCGGTTGTCCACCAGGAAGCCATGCATTTTGAGAATGCTGTTGTAAATTTTGGGTCACCAATGTTAGCTTGTGCATTGCAAGAAAGATGCCAAGAACATAATCTGTGCTTAGCATAAGGGATAACATATTTGACAGCCTCTGCATTACCCTATCCCCATCGGTGACAACTGAAATAGGCGATTTATTCATCATGGCTTCTAAAAATTCTGTAGCACCCACTCGAAAGATTGGGACGTCTTGTCAGCGATTATGGCAGTGGCAAACACAATTGTATTATGGTGATGATTAACACCGACAACAGACATAATTGGTAGACCATACAAATTATCTTTGTACGTTGTGTTAAACACAATTACATCACCAAAGCATGTGTAATCTGATCTTGATGTAGAATCCGACCAAATAAGATTATGCAATGCCCCTGATTCGTCTACCGAGTATGTCATAAAAAAACTCGGGATCATCATGTTTCTTATAATCAAATTAAGTAATAAGCGCATTCACATCCCTATCGACGATTTCCTTTGTTTTACCTCTTTGAAGTGCATTGTAGATGTCTTTATATGTAAATCCAACATTATGATAGCCCCATGCCTGCTGCGTTAAATAGTTCATTACTTGTGACGTGCCAACACCGACCTCTTTCAATGTTGTTGCCTCATCGATATCAGTCTTACTTACAACTCTATTAGAACGCATAAATGGTGTCATAGCAGGTGTGCACAATGCATGATTATGTTTCTGATAAGACTTACTTAGAACCCAGTGATCGTTTGTATTTGTTGTTGTAACTACGACTCTAGCCTTGCATCCTGTTCTTGTGACTGGCGTATGAGCACATTGACGATCAACAGTATTGACTTTTGATACTCAAAACCCTTCTTTGAAACAACAAAATTATTGTATCTTCACATTCCCTTCCACGTCAAGTCGTGTTGTTCCCTTACGTGCACTAAACCCATGTTCCCATGCGAATCCCTTATAAAAGTATCAAGTTTGATCACGTGAAGAGAAGAGCTGACCAACCAGTCTGTCAGATTTATAACATTATGTACTTCATGGCATTCCTCGATTGGCTTAACATTGTCTGCATCAGTATGATCCATGACAAAAATTTTGTTCTGCAAGTTCAGTGGTTCCGAAGTTAATGGAGATGTAAGTAAATGTTCATTGAACATGTTTCAGTCGTGCTTTCAATAGGATGTGGTATTGATAGTAGTAGTTGAAAGGTGGGTACAACATTAAATTCGCATGACATATTTAGGTATGTACAATAACTATCTAAATATGTGTCGATACATTTTCTAAAAGTATCAACCCAAAAAACATCGAAACCAATAATTATAATGTAATATGTAAATTAATAATGTAACCGGTATAAATATACTGATTAATTAGAAAACAAGTCAACATAATGTATCAACACTTGTGCAATTTGTGTCGATACTTATTGTCCAAAATGAATGCCCAAATGAGGTGCACGCATAAAGTGTCGATACATTTATTAAAAGTATCGATCCCAATAAAATTGAAACCGATAATTATAATGTAATATGTAAATTTACAGTGTAACCGGTATAAATATATCGATTTTATGAGAAAATAGGTCAACATAAAGTATCGACACTTGTTAAATTTGTGTCGATACATTTTGTTCATAATGAATGCCAAACGGGTACACACATAAAGTGTCGATACATTTATTAAAACTATCGATCCCAAAAACATCGATCCCAAAAACATCAAAACCCATAATTACAATGTAATATGTAAATTTATAATATACCCGATAGAAATATACCGATTTTATGAGAAAATAGATCTAAATAATGTATCGACGCTTTTTAAGTTTATGTCGATATTTTTTTTTCAAAATAAATGTCCAACGAGATGCACGCATAAAGTGTCGATATATTTCAAATTGTATCGATCCAAAAAACATCAAAACCGATAATTATAATGTAAAAGATAAATTTATAATGTTACCGATATAAATATACTGGTTTACTTATAAAATAAATCAATATAAACGCTACCTATTATATTATATAAACGCTACCTAATATGTTATTGTATTTGAAAATATTTTCGATCAAATCTTTATTTTATTATATAAACGCTACCTATTACATTATATAAACGCTACCTAATATGTTATTGTATTTAATAATATTTCTGATTAAATGATATAATATAACCGGTCACGCCTTTTTTTAATTATTTTTTAGGCGCTGCACAGCAGAAGTTTCCATGTTTTTCAGACCAAATACCTCTCACAGGTTGAAGACAGAAGACGTAGCTTGGCTTAATGACATAAGAACAGCAATCCAAATGTAGCACATCAGTGGAATATCGAAATAGACAACAATGATTTGACAAATGCAAGCAGCTGTCGGTATGGTCTAAAGTTTGTTAATGCATTGCGACTGCAAGTATTATTCAACTTCCCAACAAATCATGAAAGCAAACTAACCCCACCGGTTTTTTCGGATGTAGTTCCTGTCCACCAGCTATAGATCTACTCCTCTCGCGCGCTCTGGCCGATGAGTCGTCCCCCTGAAAGACCCCATCAAAACATCTCCAGTTGTATAGCAATATAGACAACTTCAAATGGGACCAATCAATTGGTATGACCACGTAATGTGGATATTCACTATACAAATTAAAGAATAATATCCAATAAAATCCAACTGGCCATTTTCAGACATCCGGTTCAACTAAGGTACAAGAGAATGTTTTTTTTTTTATAAGATTTGAAGGTCTCTTTAAAAACCTCTTTCTTGATTAATAGAGCTTATAAAGAAGCTTCTTAATAATCGGAAGGAGGAAAAGAGTACCTTATAATTTCATTGAAGAAAATAAGAATTACAACCTTGGAAAGAAAAATCTAAGTAGAACCCTTACAACAATTCTTGAGCCTTAAAACCGAACTATAGAAGTCAACAACATAATAATCAACCTATACCAGCCTTTGCTAGAGCATCGACATCCATATTAGTTGTCCTTGCAATCCATCTAACAACCCCCGACAGTTTAAAGACACTCAACAATATCTCTAACAATGAAACCATAAACAGCTGGACATGAGACAACCTTATTGATCCAGTCTACTGCAACTCTGCTATCACTCTCTATGATCAACCTATCTTTAACCCTCCCTAGGACAGAGGTAAAGAAAGAGATACCCCTTTGGATAGCTTTAAGTTCCTTCAATGTTGGAGGTCCAAAACCATCCGGTTCCTGAAAAGAACCAAGGATTGCACCAGAATGATCCCTCATAAGACCACCCAGACCTGATTTTTCCCAATCACAACTAATTGCTGCATCCACATTCAACTTGATGAAACCCGTAGGGGGAGGTAACCAAGGGGTTATGGAAGACTTCAAGAAATTGTAGGACGAGTAAGAATCCCCTATAGAAGGATCAGAAATTAAGGAGTCCTTAGGAATAGAAACATCCTTATTCTTTGCTAAATACCAAGAGGCCAGCCTAACTCTTGTTAAGAAAAATAATTCAGTCTGATCGAGCTTTCCCCCTTCAAAAACTATGGAGAAGAATGTTGAATATAACTAAGATTTAATTCCAATGTAACAGGCCTGACAACCTTAGTTGGCCGGTAAAAGGAAAAGTATCACCTTGATATCCAGATCTGCTGCTCATACTCATGTATGTCGGTTCAATACCACTGGTACCACGGTGATGCACGAATTGGAAATCAACCAAGCATAAATTTAGCCCCACAAATCTGGACAGCGAAAGCTTCAGTATCTGTGACATCATTCTTGTTTTGCTAAAACCAAACACGGCAAAATTTTGAAATTGTCTCAATAAAGCTAATGGTGAATTGGTAATCCATAATTTTGAAATGACCTGATCCGTCCATCCCAACCAGCTGTTACAATTACAAGGCCCCAAGAATGAGATGCACTCAGACAAGATATCTTAAGCAACTTGTACTGAGATTTACACATTGCAGATGATACAACTAAGGAGTTTGGAGGGGGGAGCTGTTCCTCTGGCCAGGTTGCAGTACCCTTGGGCAAAGATTCGGAGAAAAATCCATGGCCCATAGAAAAACGTTCAGAAGAGGAGAATGGTAATTTGTGTTGAGAGCTCTCGCTCAACTCAGAATGTAATACCCCAGTATTCCCATTAAATGTCCGTGTGCTAGAAGAAACTTTGGGTGATGGCACACTTCCTGCCATATTAGAGAAAATAGAGTTTATAGATGTCATCCCACGCCAAGGTACGGCTACTGATGCATTATTTGAGAAAAAGCTTTCACAAGACCAATTGTTTTTTGATTGGGGAACTGGTCCATCCTGGATAACATTGTTCCACACATAGACATTAGAATCTTCACTTGCTGAAACAATTCGAATTCCATCTGAGGTAAATGAAGCAGATATCTGGCTCCCTGCATTCCGCAGACCTGCAGATAACATATAGCCAAGTGAACCGAAACACCCAAATTTTATGTATTAATTTCTTATCCATTTTGGTAAGGAAACAATGTATTAAAACATGTATTAAATCGTTCTTTTTATTCCCCACACCTCCCAACCGATAAAACATGTATGTCTTTGTATGCCTCCACTTTCCATTCACCTCCAGACCCAAAAGGGGAAAAGAATCTTCATATGATAAGAGTTTGAGAAAATTTCCTTCAAAAACTCCAATTTTGGTTGTTCAAACTTTGATAAATTTTTACTTTTATCTCCTACTTGCAACACTTATTTTCCATCTCAATGCATCATTAACATACCAATTAAATCAGGCAAATAACTACCAACCTCGAAATTTGTAGACCACATCAACATCATGGAGGATTCGAACTTGTGAATCAGCAGAAGTAACCATTAATTTATATGGGTCCCCTGGTGCAAACTACACATAATCTCTTTATTAATTTTCGAATGCTTGTAATCTTGGTTAAGGATGTATATTTCAAAAGCAGATTGAAGAAAACAGATGGTAATCATCATACCTGAAATCCAGTTATCCTACTGCACGCTGATTTCTTCTTACTGCGTAAACATATTTGAGCATTAAGTTGCAGATGGTTATCTGATTCACGTAAATAATACCAGTTAGTATTTCCCAAACAAATTAACCTCCAAAAAAGCATCTATAATAGGTTTGTTAGAGAGCACAAGATATTTGGATGAGATAAAACATGCAAATTACCGGTCAAAACTACCATGTTGTCAATCATAAGTACAAAAATATTCAGCTTAAAGAAGATGGAAGTTACAAATATGAAACAAGAAGGTTCCACAGAAAGTACATAGAAGGAATTCCAAAAGGGATGTTCACCGACATCCCCCTTCATACTGCAAAAGTAAACCCAAGTTATTTATTTACAACTTGGATGATACAATTTTACCAGAAGGCCAACTCTTTCACCAAAAATTAAATCAAGTGATATTAGCAGGCAGCAGATAATCTTTTTCATTTCCTCTTGATCTCTGCAGGCCTCCAAACTTACAAGTTTCTGATACATAGATTGTTTAACAGAAAAGAAATTTTTTTGAAGTTTTTAATTTCCTTCAGCCAAAAAAAATTCTGACTGATATCCTGTCAACATTCTGCTTCAACGTATTAAAAATGGTCAAATTTAGGAAGAGTATGATTTGTCCAAGTGACAGCTAGATAAAGAGTAAAAGTTTCCAGAACCCAGAATAGCAGTATCGGAGATGTTGAACAATCAACTGATTTTTCATAAAGGGTACTGGTAAACTAAAGATATACCTGAAGCATCATAAAAGCGACAATTTCCATTCATAGAACCAATAACTGCACCCTGCAGATAGAATAAGAGAATTAAAGAACCCAAAATCCTAAAAGTTGATTGCAAAATAGCATGGTTAAGAAAACTTCCACTGAACCTTTCCGTCAGGACGATAACAAACAGCGGTAACAATATCTGTCACATCAGTCCAATCAGCAACTTGACCACCTGGAATTTCCCAGATGCGCACTTTCCCATCTATGGAACCACTTATGAAGTAATCATCATCCACTGGATTAAATTGAATGCATGTTACTGTATCACAGTACAATAAGAACAATAACAATTATAATGGTATAAATCACACTGCCAAAGATGATTGCTTACCTTAATAGACATTTATATAACCAAAAATAAGATATGATAAAACTCGAGTATGGATTCAACTACATTACCATAATTATTGTGGGCAAATACTTTTTGACATTCATCATATCCAACTTGCCACAAGCGAACTGTCTTATCAACAGAGGATGATATAAAATGCTGGCATTAAATAAATCTTAATTACAAACCAAATAAATTCTAGCAAGTGACAGCAAGTTGTTTCAACCTAGATAGCAATTACTGACCTTATTCTTTGACCAAGAGAGGTCAAGGACCTCCCCACAATGCCCACGGAACTCATGGATAGGTTTATCTAAAATTCGAAAAACCTTCTGAGGGAAAATGACATAAGTTGAATCTGGAATTTTCTTCACTCTCTTTGATTTGTCATTTTTCTCTCTGTCCACGTTAAGAGGAACCAATTCAGAAAAGTCATTCACTGTGAAGTAGACACATGAAGGATCGACATCGTGAATGTCAGAACTCCCTGATCGTTCAGACTCGAAAACCTGCCACACACGCACAACACCATCTTCACCAGCGCTTGCAAGGTACTGACCATCAGGGCTAAACTTCATTGTTAAGATTGACCCTTCATGGGCTTGGATCTCTTGGCCCTTGTAAAGAGCTGAGAACTCCTTTGACTGCTTCTTGTATGATCTAACTCGAACCATTTGAATCCTAGTCTCTGCACTTGAATGACAATCATTGGATATCTTACCATCAGATCCTACCTGCCTATCAATGATGCAAGCAAAAGCACCTAACCGTCTAAGCCATCCCTTTTTCCCCTGCTTTATTTCTGGCCCTAAATCAGAAACACCTTTGACTTCCTGTCGCATTTCTTGTTGAACTACAGGGGATAAGTCAAGCATCCTTTCGAATTCATCAACCGTAAGCAAATGATTAGACCCTACTTCCCGCAGTTTCCTGAGCATTCCATCCTGACTGAATTCATCCACAATGAACTCTGTCCCATCATCCAAATTCTTAATCCTACACACAAGATTATCATCCAATGCCGCATCTAACAACTCCCTGGCATCACTTGATGAACAAGACATGGAAGACTGACTGGAAGAAAAACTATTATCAGAGCTTGATGGTCCTAAGACAGCTCCACTCTTCCCCATAATTCTATCAGTCTCTACTTCAATCTCATCACGACACAAGTTAGAGGGATCTTCCCTGACAGTCTGATCTACACTTAAACCCGCCCATTTCAGGAATTTATCACGTCGTTCACGAATGCTACTGAGGTTTTTATTCCAAATTTCAAATCCAAAATTAGCCGGCATCGAGTTGATGGATGTGGAATACTCAGAATCAGAATTCTCCGGGCAATCAGATCCTGACTCAGATACAGAGGTAACATCTTCACGGGTGTCAAAAAATTGATCTTCCTCTTCACTTAAACTCCCCATCATTATTAACTCTTCAGTTCAACCCATGAAAACTCACCCTTCGACCTAAATTGTCTTCTCACAAGAAACCCTGGGTAATGTTCTAAATCCCCTATAAGGATAACGTGAGAAACAGAACATCAAAAACCCAGAGATAAAAGGCAAAAATATTTATTTCATATTCAGAACTACCACACTAATACCCATAAACACAGATCCCAACTAAACCCCCCCATAACTAATAAGATGATATAACGTTGAACAGCTTTAAACCAAAACCCAAATCTCAAAAGCAATTGTTAACAAACGGATCAGTGCCAAGATATGTAAAGCTATAAGAAAATAAGCAAAAGATAAAACAACAAACTCCGATGAACAGATAAATAAGATTGCGTTTCTTTTTCCTGAAAAAAAAAACGTATAACAAAAGGTAGGTAGTAAATAAGTGATATAACGGGTAACGATATGGGCACCTGGAATTTTCGTTGAAAAGTCCGTCGAGCCCAAGATACGACTTATTCATCATATCTCATCATCACCTTCCCAATTCCCATGGAGATTAGAGAATCAGAAAGAGAACAAAGATTATAAAAACAAAACAACAAAAACTAAATGGAAAGTAGTTAAGTAGAAAAAGTTGAGGTGAAAAAAAAAAAACAAAGGGAAATCTCGAAAGGAGTGAAGACGTGTGGACTATGGCCCGAGAAACAAGATTTGGAGAGGCAAGTTGTGTTTTCCTGCCTTGTTGTCCTTCCCGTACTACTTACACAGCCTTTTTTTTAAAACTCTTTTTTTATTTCAAAGTAATTAACCTTCTTAATCCCTTAAAACTTAAATTTAATTTGATTGATATTTTCAGAGCAGGTAATTTCAAGGTATTAAGATGGTGTTTGGTTCGTTGAAATGTTTACAAGGAAATTGAAATATGTGAATGAATTAAAATCTGTCAGGAATTAGAATCTGTCAAGAATTGAAATCCAATTCTATATTCTGTTTGGTTGGCAATTGAATTAGAATTCAATTCTATATTCTGTTTGATTCGCAGACATGTCAGATGAATTTGATTTCAGTAATATAAAATGACAGGATTACCCTTCTTTTTTTTTTGCTTAATTTTAGTTTGTTTTATAAATTACATGTAGTAATATATTATAAAATTTTAAAAAATATTAAATTTTAATTTTATTGATTAATTATTCATTTCAATAAATTATAAAAATCATGCTAATAAACATCATAAGTTAAAATCATCCCAATTAGGGGTAGTCATGGGTCAGGTTGGGTCGGGTTTTTGGTCCACCCGACCAACCCGAGAACAAGGGAACCTCCATCCGAGACCCGACCCGACCAAAATAAAGTTTCACCCGACCCAACCCGAATATATGAATTAGAAACCCGACCCGAAATAATAAAAAAATATTTTTATTCAATAAAACAGTGACTTAATTGAAAAAATATTATATATAGAGAAGTATTATTGTAATTATTCCTAAATATATAAGGTAAAATTATATATTTTTTTGGCCGGGTCGGGTATTTTTCACCCTAAACCCGACCCGACCCGAATATCAAACTTAAAAAAAATCGACCCGACCAAAATAAAGTTTCATCTGACCCGACCCGAATATATAAATTAGAAATCCGACCCGACATGAAATAATAAAAAAGTATTTTTTATTCAATAAAAACAGTGACTTAATTGAAAAAATTATATATAGAGGGGTATTATTGTAATTATTTCTAAATATATAAGGTAAAATTATATATATTTTCAGGTCGGGTATTTTTAACTCGACCCGACCCGAATATCACACTTAAAAAAACGACCCGACCTTACCAAAATAAAGTTTCACCCGACCCGACCCGAATATATGAATTAGAAACCCGACCCGAAATAATAAGAAAATATTTTTATTCAATATATGAATAAGTTACCAAAAGATTGATGAGGGTAGTATGATCAAATTTCAATTCCCTCCAAAAAGGGAATTGAATTCCATTATAGAATGGATGGAATTCACTTTCCCTCATTTGATGGAAAGTTGAAGTCATGAAGGATTCCAATTCCCTTTGAAAACTTGAACCAAACATGGGAAAGTGGTGGAATTGGATTCCAATTCCCCCTAATTCCAAGGGATTCCTGCGAACCAAACGCCACATAAGTGTTTGGAGATTATAATCGGCTTAAGTATTATAAATATATTTAAGGTTTAATACAAAATAAGTGTTTAAACTTTATTTCGAAAAATATTTTAGTCGAAAAATATTTTAGTGTTTAAATATTTTTTATTAAAATTAGGTGTTTAATGTTTTCAGTGGAGTTTTAGGGGCTTAGACCCAATAGTTCTCCGGCGTACAATAACCCTATTCTCCTTTCCCCCTTCTATGATTGTTGATCGGTGATCCGTAACCGTCATCGCACCTTCATTAACACCGATGTCAACCCCTATCAAACCCCATTGACATTTCTTCTTAAGTTGTCACTGTTTTCTGTAGAGAAGCGTTTAAAGGTTCGTCATATTTTAAGTCATCATCATTGTTTTTGTCGATTTCAGCTAATCCCGATATCCGTAAGCCACACCGCCACCACCATTCAAACCACCGTGCAATTCTGCTCAAAATACATCCTCGTTGTAGCTTCGTTGGTGCTCCTCTGGCATTCCATCATGGAAATTAAGATTTTAAAAGGTTAGGGATTTGAGTATTGGGGATTTTAGAGATTTAGGGGATTTTAGTAAGGGTAAGGGTAAGGGAAAAGATTGATCAATGGGTGGTCGATGATGGGTGGATGATCGTTTGATGATGATGGTGGTGGCTGAAGTGGCTGGCGACGGTTGGTAACAGGGTTGAAATGAGATATTTTAGTTTTTTAGAATTTTTTTATAATTTCAATAAAATTTTTAGCTTTTTATAAATAAATTAATTTTTTTAGTTTTTAATTTAAAAATGATATTTTTATTATTAAAAAATACAATGGTAGGTATCTAAAAGTGTAACTGAGAAAACGTTAAATACCAATTTTTAACGAAACTTTCGTTAGACACCAAAACGTTTTTCGAGGTAAAATTCAAGTACTTATTTTTGTATTAAGTCTATATTTAATTAATGAGATAATTGTATGTGATGTCCTTAAACTATGATATTTATTTTAAATTGGTTCTTAAAATTTAAAATATTTTATTTTAATCCCTAAACTATAACTTCTATTATAAATTGATCCTTAAACTTTAAAATATTTTATATCAATCTTCAAATTATGATATGATATATCTTATGTGCAATTAAATCTTAGTTTATTTAAAGAAAACTATTGCATTATATGTTATTTTATTATTATTTTTAATAGTTTAGGGTGATTACAAGATAATATATATTCATAATCTTATTTAGTCATTAACAACGCACGTACACCCTGCAGGTGCAGCTACTCGAACCTAGGGCTTCAAAGGATAACAAAAATCTCTTTAACCACAGACACCACTTAATGGGTTCTACTTTATTAAATTTAAAAGGCTTATATCACAAATAAGTACCTAAAGTATATATTCCTTTTTATTTAAGTATCTAAATTATTTTTGTGTCAAAATAAGTACCTAAAATTATCTCTTTGGTTAAAATAGATACCTAAAGTATTCTATATCAAAATAGGTACCAAAACTATTCAAACTTTTTCATCTTATTTCTAAGAAAGTTGACATGTGGGACGGACGCAAGATTTTATGTTTGGAAAGATGAACTTGGACTTATAAAAATTTTAGGGAGAGCGAAAATAAATTTTCAATAAAAAATACATATATATCTAAAATATATGGTAATTTAATTTTTTAGAGAGGGTGACCACCTCCACCAGTCCCGCCTAGGTATATCACTGCATGTGGCATTAAGTAAATAGGATTATAGGTACTTAGATTAAAAAAATTGAGTACTTTAGGTACTTAGATTAATAAAATTGAGTACTTTAGGTACCTATTTTGATCAAAAAATACTTTAGGTACCTATTTTAACCAAAAAGATAACTTTAGGTACTTATTTTGACAAACAAATACTTTAGGTACTTAAATGAAAATGATAATATACTTTAGGTACTTCTTTGTTATATAAGCCAATTTAAAATAATATATTAATTATGTTTTTATAAATTAGAGAAAATAACTTCAGTGACAAAAAATGCCTTATAATATACGATTTTAACCAACTTTTTTTGGATTTGCGAAAATGACCAATAAATTCGCAACGCGAACTCTAATTTTGCAACTCAGTTTCCAAATTCGCAACGTGAATATGTAAATCACATTGCGATTTTCCAAATTCGCAACACATAAGTCAAATTCACAACACAGAAGTCAAATTCGCAAAGCGCGTTTATTTTCGCAACGCGAATTTTATTTTCGAATTTGAAACACAATATTTATTTCGTAACACAAATGTAAACAGTATAATCGTAAATCATAACCTAAAACCCTAAATCACAACTCAGTCTCATCTCTATCTCTCACTCTTTACGGCGATATCCGTCTCCATCTCCGGCGAAATCCGTCTATCTCCATCTCTCAGAGCCACCCTCACAACTATTCACGGTCAGAAATGGAAAATCAACCACCGAGGGTTAGTTTTTTAATTATTTTTATTTTTAAATTTTTATATTATTATTAAATTTTTTATATTTAAATTGATGATAAATTTACTGGTAATTTCAGTAATAGATTAACTATTTCACTTAGATTGCTTAGTAAATTCATTCGGTTGCTGTCAATACTGCTAAATTGTTTAGTCTTTAACCCTATGAAGTTAGTATTTGTCTTTGTTTTGTCTTTTGGTTGAAGTAATGCAATTCATTCAAGTTTCAATTTGCAGAAGACTATTTGAAACTTAAATTCGCAACACGAAAATGAAAATCGCAACGCGAAATCGCGTTGCGATTTTAAGTTTCAGAAACTATTATTCTTCTGCAAATTGAAACTTGAATGAATTGCATTACTTCAACCAAAAAACAAAGAAAAATACTAACTTCACAATGTTATATGATGCATTTTGTGAACTATGATAGAATAATTACTTGGGTGAATACCGTGCAAGTTTGAAACATATTTGGCTTGTTTTCACTGTTTAATAACATGTCTGTTTATAGTGTATAATTTATAGTTTTTGGTATATCTAACTTGGCATGTTTATTGTTTTTGTAGAATTTTTTTTTTCGGCTTCATTGACCTTAAGGAATAAATTAAGCCTAGCCACTACAATTGCGTCGACGCTTACACCTATACAAAGAAAATTGTTTGAGGATACTTTCTTCGGGACATGGCTGAAAGTACAATATCCGGGTGGAGATGCTATGTTGACCCATTTGTTTCTTCAGACCATGACTAACGATCTACCCGAGAGGATACAACGTGGTGATGAAGAGATATGTTTTCATTTTCCTCCGGCGTATACTTGTTTTGGGCGGGAGTAGTTTTGCTTAATCATGGGTCTACGCTTCGGACACGATGATGTAGGTCGGTACACTAGTCATATCTCCCGCCCATCATGGTTATCTCAGGTTTTTCCTGAGCTGGCAAAGGCGAAGCCAAGTTTACACGTCGACGACTTGAAGAGATTATTTGTTAAATATGGTTTTACTCGGATGGATGACCTCGATGTTGTTCGAGTATGTCATTTATTACTTTTGTATGCCGGCTTTTTAGGAAAAGATGCCAGACAACCTATTTATGAGGA